AATGTTGGACAGTCATCACTCATAAAAAAGTCCCTTAAGCGATCAATTCAAGATTCAGCATCCCCATTCACTTCTTGGATGTGAAACCAGCTTGGCCAGTGTAACAGTAGCATGCACGGGACGAAAAATTGGATTTACGACACTTTTGACACGCGTCAAAAGTTAAATCAAATATGGTATTAGCTTTGACGTCACCTTTGACGCGCGTAAAAGATGTCGCAAAATATATAACCTCTGTGCTTACTCCTTTGACCTCGGTAAAGGTGAAGTCAAATTGGTAACAACTTTGACTTCTCCTTTGACGTGCGTCAAAGATCAAGTCAAATGCATCAATGCTTTGCTATTCCTTTAACCCTTATCAAAGGCGTTGTCAAATATGCTGGTAACTTTGACTTTACCTTTGACGCACGTCAAAGATAAAGTCAAAAGAGTAGTGGCTGTGACCACACCTTTGATACTAGTCAAAAATGAAGTCAAATACGACCGCTACACTTTTACAACACTTTTGAATGGTGTCAAGGGTGAGAGCAAATATGCAATGAATTACTTCTACAAACACTTATGTCGAAACTGATTTTAAGAAAGGAAATTAAAAAGCTGTATTTGAATACTGTTTTAAAGATATTTATACGACAATACCGAACACAGGCTGGTAATCATTGTAATTGGTGTTTATAATTATTTTTGAAAATGTTCTGGAATATGTACTTTTTCGAGGTGAATTAAGTGAGTTTTGTTTTTGTCTTATCTTGAGTGGATCATTTTCCCCTTGATCGATTAATATACGATGAATAAATGATAGCGACGCAAAACAATGACTCAACAACTGGACGATGGAAGACTGAACCCAAGCAAGACACCCTGTTTTTGGCGCGAAATTGTCGCGGCTGCAAACTCTCTCCGCCCGCGCAAACAAACAAACTACGCAGATCTGAAGAAAACAAAAGCTGCTTTTTTGTACGAAGCAGTCCAGCTTTTTTTTAACAAATATTTTCGCCCTTATCTCTGATAGAGTTTAGACTACAAACTTGTTCAAAAGGTACGTGTCATTCTTTTCTATGTGTGCATGCAATAGTTCTTCTTCAAACTTCATAGTTGTTTTACTATGTTAAGCTTACAGAAACCAACTCCGAACAGGCGTGTATATCGTGCTTGGGAGCTTTTCTGATCGTTAAATCTGGTTCAGTAAACTATAAAAATCTTTCTGTATCACAGTAGAGTTTACATTAGATCAAGCCCTTTTTCTTAATAGGGTTAATGCATTTCTGTAAAAGTAATGCCTGGCTTATATTTCACAATGCAATTCAACTCAAAACTTCATGCGAGAACCTACTAACATCAAGATTAACCAACTCTGGTTTTTCTAACAGTTTATATTTATCTGCGAGAACTACTCAGGTAATGAAATAATATAAGACTTACATATATCTTTTTTCATTGACAGTGTACTTCAATAAAAATGTCTGTACCAGACTTTGATGGGCATATTACTGAAGCAAGTACATAAGCTTATTTGAACAGGATTCAGTGCAGTTTATCAAACAAAGAGGTGTGATTATTTGAAGACTTCGGATGTTTTGCGAACGTGAGTATCTCTTTCTATTGATTTTTCTGGGTTCTATACGTAATGGGGCTCATACTGCATAATTAATTTTTAAAATATTCCATTGATTTTTTTACCACTACAGTGGCAGCTGGGTATGTTTCAACATTTAATAACAATCATTCAAACATACCGAGCTGTCCCTTCATTATTGTTACTGGACAATAACTTTGGGGGTTAAAAAGGTAGAAAAATAGCCGCGTAGCAAGCTTTTCCGCGCGAGTTTTGTGCAAGAGGGCAAAAAAAGAGGAAGGAGGGGCCGGGAGGGGCTAACTCGCGCAATAACTCGATTGGAAACGCTTGTTATGCAGGCTAGGTATAATATAAAGTGTTTCTTTAGTTTAATTTTAAGCTTTGGGCATAGAGGGAAATTTTGATTGAATTTTCCTGGACTTTATTATGTGATAATAAGGCTCGATTCAAACGTCAAATTTCACAGGTGACGAACTTAATGACAATACATGTACACGAAATGTAATGTTTCCATTCAAAAGCATTAGGTTCGCTACACATTTTTAACAGGGTCTTTAAGTTTTGATAAAGGTAAAGAGAAAGGGGGATTTTCTGAAGAAAAGGAGCGATAGTAAAAAGGGAGTGGGGCCAAAAAATTTATTTAAAACACTATGACTGAGCTTTTTATCTCAAATTTCTATATTTTTTTTACAATTATTTCACAGATAAAAGAAGCAAGGCAAAGTGATAAGTCTCCAGTGGGAAAAAAAAGCACACAACAGAGGAAGATTGAAGTTAGATACATGGCGTTTGTCTTTCACTTACATCAAGAGTCAAAAGCACTCTAGAATGAAAATCTTCGCAAAGATAACATCAAGACAGATAGGCTCCTGATCAAGAACATTTCTTACTTACCATGATTTTAGCACTGGCTTTCGTGAAAGAGTGTTTTAAACTATTTTGCAGGTTGCCGTCCGTGACAACAGCGTGAATCTGGAACATTTATAGTGCTTCAAAAATTTGCGGCAGTCATTATGATTGTCCATTGACAAACTGCATTGAGTACTTTAGACAATAAATCGTGAAAATGTTTTAAAAAACCATTTTTATGCGTTTAAAAAAGTTTTAATCGGAATTATTCAGCTTTCTAATCATCTAGTGAGGTTTTAGGACAATAAAGTACAAGATTAAGAACTCAATCTCTTATCTGTCCACCTTTTTAAACGGTATCCAGTTCGCAATTGAATTTGACTGAAAATCTCAAGTTGGATTCTAGCCTGTATATCAAGCGCTTATGACTAGCGAGGCAATAACGCGGCATTCGCGCGAAACGCGAGGAGAACGAGGAATTCACGCGAAGCGCGAGACGAGCGAGAGGCGCGATGCGAGGAGAGGAAAAAAAACAAACATATTTGGCAACACCTTTGTTAAACCTTTGACTTAAATCTCACACGCATTTGACGACAACTTTGTCACACATTTGACCTGAGGCTCAGACACTTTTGACGACACTTTTCACAAGCCTTTGACTTTAATCACAGACATAACTTTGCCGCGCTTTTGTCACACCTTTGACCTGAATCTCAGACATATTTGACGACGCCTTTGATAGGGGTACAAATGCTAATGAAATATACCTTTGACGCGCGTCAAAGGTAGGGGTTAAAGGCGTGACAAAAACGGCCTTTATCGCCTGAAGTCGCGCCTTTGACCGCGGGCAAAGGTAAATATTTGTCGCGCGTCGAAGTTGTACAAAGGTGTGCAAAGGTGGCCTTTATCGCGCGTTTGACTTCACCTTTGACGTTCGGTAAAACCGTTTTTTCGTCCCGTGATCGTCCTACAATAGTCTTCATTCAGTGGCCATGTTGCGCGCGTAGAACCATCACTTACAACAGGAACATTACCGTTCTTCGATGCAAAGTGGTACCAAGAACAGTGTTCATCCTGCGGTCGTGCAAGATACTTATCCAGGGGGGTGGTGCGAGTTGCTGTTTCACCATCACGTTCAAGTCTCCTTGACCCTGACATTGACAAGTAGCTGAATGGACGGCTACATCGCCAAAGTGCTAGCCCACTCAGTTCAAAGGATGCCTCCGGTCCACTGATATCTCGTCTTCCTACCGTCTTTATCAGCATCTTAGCACCATTTACTTGCCTGTCACCTGGTCTGCATCACCTGCATCAACAGCATTCACCATGTCCTTAAAGAGATCAGAAGTTGCACTAGTAAGTTCACTATCTTTGCAAGCATATCCACACACACAGTCAATTATGCTATGATAGCATCTGTGCTATATTTGTCCGGAGGGGAATTGGAAAGAATCAAGCTTACATCGATCCCCATTTGCTTTCCACGATTGTAACTGATAACGAGAATGCTGAACCACACGTGGATGGTCACGTGGCATCTCTAGGCAGGGAGCTCCATTATGATCTTCCACAATTTCTGGATTACTGTGAATTTTTTTCCCTGGGCGGAACTCGCTTCCAAACTCCCTCCGACATACACGTGCTCTCGGCTGCAGTCCTTGCTCCAGATGGCGAGGAGTTCTCAAGCAGTAATCAGAGCAACTGTGGAGTCCAATCCTCTTTACTAAAAGCAAATGATCCTCCAGTATTGCATCGTGTGTTGCAGCTATCTGCATTAGCATCTTAACTAAGGGATCCCTATCATCTGATATGCGCTCAGCTGTTCCCTCAGGTGGTGGCCAGAGGTCTTTTCTTGGCTGCCCTTCTTCGTCATTGCCAGCTGTATGTAATGCTGTCATGGCAAAGGTTTCATCTGCCCACTGACTATTAAAGTCTAGCTGCATACTCTTCCTCTTCGCAACCATCTTCACGAGCTTCATGCAATACAAATGTAGCTGATGTGTGGTTGCCTGTTTTTTCCTCCAGCTAAGTTGGTGCCAATGAATTTGACCGCGGGACTTGGCAAACTCATAGCGGTACCAATAATCAGAGAAACCAAATACCGGCTTCAGTACCTTCTCATGGTATGCCTGGGTACGCAGGTCAAAGTAACTCACCACTACATGAGTATTTTCTTGTACTGCCTTGAAGCAGGCATTGCTATCTTCAGCAAGGTTGACTTCTTCGCCTTTGGTCTGCAAGATGTACTCTTCCAGTAACCTTCTAAGAGGAGGAAAGTAAAACTTGGCGCAGCTTCCAGTCGTGAAAAATGAAGGCAACCCATGCTTCTCATTGACCATGAACTCCACAAGGGCACGAAGCTCTCTGCGTCTCTGGTGCCAGTACTGAGCTGTACCTCGCAGATTTGCGCCAAAAAACAACAACTTATCAGTAAAAGTGTCACCTCTCGTAAGTCATTCTTGCAGGTCTGCAACAGTTATGTGTGGGTCACCAAGTTGCTGATCAACAGAGAACCGGCTCTGCTCCAGGGCATGCTTCCTCATGATCATATTGTGGACAACAAACTTCCACACCT